AGAGTTTGTTGAAGGCCCATGCAATATTGGATATCTCCTTTGGGCCTGCTATAGGCCTACTATAATTTCTTGTGTAATATTTGTACTTATATTACTCATCTAGTCTGTAATAATTTTGTAATAAATAATTGGGGTGTTAGTGAAATTGGGGAAACGGTATATTTCAATATTTGCATGAAAGGGTAGAAAACATGCCTATAGGATTTATATGATTTACTTGTTATTTTATCCAACCTGCCATATATGCTATTTGAATTTCTATGTACACTAGTAGAAATCCTGCCATTAGGGGAATCACGTGCTCGCACAACTTGTTTACTATCAAAGCATGTGCTTAAATACTCTATTTATCCCCATGTCCACTGCTATGTGTTACTAGACAGCATGCGTATAAGAAACAAATGCCAATAACCATCCTTCAATTTGCATAATGGCAGCATGTTCATTAGATACCATGCCTATAGGATTATACTAGCATATGCTCTACTGGTCCTCATCTAGATATCATGTCCATAGGTTCTTAATTGATTCATCATCTACTCTTATATCTATCGCTCGCCTAGAAAACATGCCTATAGGGACGAAGTGTTACAGAATCAGTCTTCAACTGTCAGTTATTAGAACCTAGCTATAAAATACTGCTACTTGCTTAGAAAGCATGCCAATAGGATCAAACACGAGTAATTCTGAGTATTCCCATTGGTTTTCATTCCCCCTATTGTGTAAATCACTTAGAGACTATGTCTATAGGTTTTAATAACTTATAATATGTATAAACAACATAACAGTACCAGATACTCTTAAACTAAGTAGTTGTTTAGAAACCATGTCTATAGAGCTTAATGACGTCAATGAGAGGATGGTAAGAAACAACCCCTAAGGGTCCATACAGCATTGGCGCAAGGCCCAAACATGGCATTCAGCCCAATTTACATAAATTCTTTCTAAAATATATAAGTATCAAGTGGTTTCAACAAAGTATGCAACTTTACAGTTGCTACGGGACGGACCAAGTCACAGATCCCCAACAGTGCACGCCCACACGCCCGTCACCTAGCATGTGCATCACTTCAAAATAGTAGAATGATACGAAATCCGGGGTTTCATACCCTCATGACTAGATTTACAATCGTTACTTACCTCAAACCGGTCAAATCTCTAACCCGCAATGATCTTGCCTCTGGACTCGGCCTCCAAATGCTCCGAATCTATTCACAATCAGTACAATACCATCAATACGCGCTAATGGAATGAATTCCACAAGAAAAACTACCAAATTAGACCAAAACCCAAAATTGGCTCAAACCCGGCCTCCGGTCCCACGTCTCGAATGCTGAGAGGAAAATATTTCGTAGATGAACACATTTCTGCGGCCCATTATGCGGCCGCATAATCACTCTGCGGACCGCATAATGGCCGCAGAGTGAAGCAGTAAGTTTGGCCAACTTGAGATCATTTTTACAATCGATTATGCGACCGCATATTGATCGCATAATCCCTCTTGAGTTTTTGCGGAGGGAGTTCTGTGGTGCATTATGCGACCGCAGAACGAGTATGTGGACCGCATACTGGTCGCATTCCTAGGCCGTAAGTTCAAGCCCCTGAGGGCCATTTATGCGGTCACTTTGCAGACCGCATAACCATTATGCGGTCGCATATGCGACCGCAGACCTGTATCGGGGCACCATTTTTTTAATTTAAAACCCGACCCCCATTTCATTAAAACACCCCATTTAGTCTATTTTGAGCTCATTTCTGATATTTCTAGTGTGAGAGGGAGAGGGTTCTAGAGGGAGGAACTAATTTTCATCAATCAATCTTCATCCATCACTCAAAGCTTTGAAATACTCAAGTAGAGCACTCAATTTCTTCATCCAAAAAGGTAAGACTTAATCACCCCAGCTCTTAATTTCAAACATGGCTATAATGGGGTATTAATAAGATGGTCCATGGGTGTGAGGGTTGTTTATCTTGCATGCATGTGATAAAGAGTGTGGTAAAAATAAGAAGTGAACTAGAACCATGAATGTTTTCCTAATTTTGGGTTCAATTTGTATATTGCTTAAATAGATTGAGGTTGCTAAGGGTTCCGGAAAATTGTAGAGTCTAAAGAAGCGCAATTGATGTATGTATGGCTTAACTCTTTTCTTCCTAGAATCGAACTTCTGGTGTCCGAATGATTGGTGTAAGTTCCGACTTGATCTTACTAGAATTGTTTGCCTTAGTATGTTGGGTTGAAAGATTTATGTTCCCTCATTGTTTTAAGATATTTACCATTGTCATTATGCTATTTGAGGACGCATCTATGATTTTCCAAGTTCCTTCCCTTATGTGTGCAATGCCTTATATGATGGTACTTATCGACACGAATGATGATGTTGTTTGATTGAATAAAAAGGGAAAGACTTGAATTGTAAAATGTGCCCAAGTGCCAAGAACTATTTAATAAATGAGGCTGTTTGTGCCATGTAATGAAAGATGGGAAAGAGATGTGAATTGAGTGAACAATTGGAAGAGGTTATGTCTCAAGTGAACTGGCTTAGTCGATCGGGCCGAGACCGGACGCCATGCCGTACACATGGTGGCATTTGTGTTGGAACTATTGACTTACATTGTGGATATGGATATGTCTCACTTGGGATGGCTTAGCCGGTCGGGCCGAGACCGGACTCCGTGTAAAAATACGGTGGCATTATGAGTTGTGGCTTTGGCACTAAAGATTATTAACCTAAAAAGATGAAAAGATTGAATTGGGAATTGTGTGATCCTTATTTGGTGTTTTCTTGTATTTTCATGAAGTACTTATTGATTATTGTGACTGCCTTCTCTTTGTTTCACTGTTCATTCTACTGAGATTGGTGTTTGCCTTACATACTAGTACTATTCGACAATACTAACGTCCCTTTTTCTGGGGGCGCTACATCTTTTAATGGATATATATGGTTCTATCGCAGATAGCGCTGATCGCAGATAGCGGTGTTCTCCCTCACACTCATCACAACAGCCTTGGTGAGCCCCATTTCTTCCTGGGGTCATATAGTCCTTCTTTGTATAAGTTTTTATATTTTAAGGTATAGCCGGGGCCTTATTGCCGGTATTATCATGTTGCTCTTTTGTACTCTTAGAGGTTCCGTAGACGTTTATGTGGGTCATGTACGTATGTTGGGAACTTAACTACGACATAATGTATATAATGAAAAATGAACTAGCAACGTTTATATATTTATATAGCTGATCTCTCCCCTGTTTTACAAATGGTGACGCATTCCCTTTTTGGATCATGAATGAGTCGGGTAGGAAAGATTTACTAGGTTTGCTCGACCGAATTCACTCCGTTGAGCGTCGGTCGCGCTCCCCGAGGTTGGGGCGTGACAACCTCAAAGAAAGAAAACTTTTAAATTCCAATCTGTTGAAGTTGGTCAAAGTTAGATGCAAAAATTTTGAATGCATATTTTTCTCAAAGTTCATTTACCGAATAATGATCAAATATGAGCGCTTGGTTGCACACTGAAAAGCAGCATTTCATGGAGCGTCTTTGAGGGACACACGTGAAGAATTGTTTTTACTTCATGACTAGTCTTTGAAATTTACGCAACTAAGTCTCGAAGTAGGTGGCATTTGTAGGTATATAAATTTTATTAGAATTAAATTTATTAAATAATCTGGACTATATTTAAATGCAAGATATATTATGCCAAATAAATATTATGTGCTAATATAATTGAATTAATTATATAAGCCCAATACATATGGGTTAAGGTCCAAATCTATTGGGCTATCCCATTTAATTGGGTTACAAGTGATGAGCCTACTTTATTAAGCCCAAGGATGCCGTCTTCCTAGAGGCCTAATATGGTGCCACGTATGAAATGATGTGGCACACCAAATCAAATGAAAGAACCAATAGGATCATGCCACGTATCAAAATGACAAGGTATGCCAAGTCAAATTAAAAGGCCAATGAAATTGCGCCACATGTGCAAGTGACATGTGCTGGCTAATCAAATACGGCTTTGCCACTCTTCAATCTGATTGGTCGGAAAGAGTTTGTTCTCATCGCAACTCTTTCCTCTCATAACTATAAATAGGGGTCTTCATAACTCAAAAAAGATACTAGAATTTATAACAAGAAGCAAGAGAGAGCTCGTGGCTCAAACGCCGTAAATTTCTCTACAAGTTTCAAGCTTCAAGCAATCAAGTTCAAATTCAAGAAATCAAGTTCAAGCTCAGGAACGAAGAACAAATCAAGGTTTAGGGAGTACGAGTTTAAATCAAAGTTCGTGCTAGTTGAATTCTAAATCATCGTTCGTGGCAACAATATAGATTCAAGATCAAGCTCGAAGGCCCTTGAATTTATTTACTATTGGAAAGAAGAATCAGAGAAATCATAGAGATTGTATACTCATATTATTTGAAATCAAATACTACGATTGTTGCAATATTTTTCGGTCTCGGTTATTTTCTCGACGCAAATTTATTGTCTACAATATGCAATATAATATTTTGGCAAAGGGTGTTCGCTTGACCACTCCTGGCATAATGTGGCTACGCCACCAGGGGCGGAGGCACAGTACCGGATGCGGGTTCGGCCGAACCCAGTAATTTTTGTTCAAACCATGTATTTGTCTTAAGAAATCCATTGGATATGTAAAACTTATTAATTTAGAACCCAGTGACTTGAAATGATTACAATCCCGAACCCATAAGGTTTAAATCTTGGCTCCGCCTCTGTACGCCACTGTGTATTATATACATATAATATACATAAGTTAAATACTTTTCGGCTAATAAATGTAATTAATTTTGGCCAATTCGCTAATTTTATATTTTGACCTAAAATAACTTGAGAATTAAGAAAACGTTGTCTGTAGTGAGTATAAATATCGTGTTAAGATAACCATAGTGGAGTAGAAAATAATGACTTAAAACACACGAACCAAAATGATGCGAGTCGAAATAGTACTATATAACTAAAAATAAATAGAACTTTAATTTCTTCATTGAACTTCAACGGTACTCCATTATAGCATCAGAAAAATCTCCTCCAAAATCCTATTCTCGCGTGCTTCCCGCCAAAAAAGAGAGACGATGAAAGGTCACCGGCGACGATTTCTGGCGCCGACTTCATCTCCAACTCCTTCTCCGTCAATCGGCGATCTCCGTGTTAGGTTCTCGCGGATCGTTTCTCATCATGAGCAACTCAAACTCGCCTTCAATCAGCTCGATTTTCAGATCCGAACTGGCTTGCAGGAAGTACAAATTCTTCAAACTCGTACTTAAATTTTAACTTTAGAATATATTTACATTCGATCTCTCAAAACATGAAGCAAATGGAGAGTTGTGGATTTTAGGTTTAAATTTGGTTTTAATGCCTGATTTTTTATGTTTTAATTTGAAGGCGGCAGACGTCTTTGAATCGTTAGCTAATCCGCTGATGAAGCTCGTAGGACTGAAGACTGTTGAAATGGCTGAGGAAGGAAAATTTAGTACCGTTGTCGTCGATTATAATCATTTTTTTGCCGATGTACTCTACTATCAAACTCTTATACTCTGCTATTTCCATGTGTTTAATTAGATATCTGAAATTCTAGTTGAGCGATTTGATAATCGTGAAGATATTAAACTCCTAAGCATATACAGTCGTTCAATTATATGTTAACTTTTTTGGTGACAGGACTTTAAGAGAAACGAGAATGGAGCTGAAACGATGGTGAGAAACGAAGCTAGCGAAATTGAGGTAATAAGTAACGAGTTTTGAGCTTGTGCATGCGTTAATAATGTCATATTCACTTCTCGTTTTATGACTGTGTTCCACTGAACATGAAGCTCCAGATGTTAGTTCAATTTATGTATTATGTTATTCCTAGTGGTGGAAACCTAGTCTTGATAGAGAAATATCTAAGTATAAAATTTGAATAGTTAAATGATTATGAAGTTTTGAAACTTGTGAGAGTTGTAATAGTCTCGACCCTTTTGGAACATTTTGGAAGAGTGTCGCTTAAGTTAGAATAGGACTATGTGTGCATGATAATATGTATATATCCGTCCGTAATTGAACTGTGAAACTAAGTTGAAAAGCCGATGCTTTTCAGCAGCTATGAGTGTATCAACCAAGTGGATGGATATTATTTTCATTCGAATGACAAAAGCATGAAATCAGAAAGTGAAATTTGAAGTAATATCTATGCTCCATTAGATCTGAAACTCTACCTCTTACTCTGTGTTCGTGTATCCCAATATCTTGTTATCTTTTGGTGGTAGAGACAAAGTAAGTGTTCAACATGGAGGTCTAAGCCGAGTTTATAGTAAGGTAGATTGGCTATATACAACCAGATGGAAGAGTACTTCAAGAAGTTGGCAAATATACTACTAGTATCAGGCTTGATGAATAACATGACTTAATGGATTGTTGGGATTGGCTGACTCTTTAAAAGCTTCACATGAATTTCCACATAAAAATTGTTTGAGTCTGGATGTGAACTAGGTTTCTCAATCTGCAAATGCAGGAAGAAGGCTATATAAATAGAGCCAAAACAGTTGGCAAGGAGCTAATTCAGAAACAAGAGATGCAGCTAAAACATTTGATCCATCTGCTAAGACAAGTTGAAGCACAAGTAAATTCAAGCCAAACCAACATTCTTCAGACCCTTAGTGACCATCAAACTTCCATACATAATGTTTTCAAGAAAGCTGTGGCATATGTTTCTGCCATTCACCAGAGAGGCGAACACGATAGCACTTCTGTGATCACAATTCAACTTCTGAAACACATATTTCGTCTCATTGTTTCTACACTGAGCTCGGTAGAGTCTGGAGTGGACAACCTAGTGGACGAGCTAGCTAGAAAAATGTGTAGTCCAATGGTCGACTATGTGAAGGGTCTTAAGCTCGAAATCAGATCAGGAAGATGCCATCACCTATTGAGCATAGTCGAAGAGATGGGAGGAGCAATGAGAACAGGGAGGATCGAGTTGGAGGAAGTGAGGAAGAAAGCAAGAGTAGCAGAACATAATAGACTTGATGCATTGTACAAGTTGAAGAAATTAGAAGAAATGGCAAGGAAGCACCAGTTCCTCTTGGAAGCCAAGAACGGATCAAAGGAACAATTTGAGCATGAGAAGGTATTTCATACTTGATTAATTTACTGCAAATTCACTTGAAGCTAACCATGCTTTGGCCTGAGGAAAATGCATTGGCAAGGAGTGTATTGTCTTTCAGAGGCGTTGCTTGTGGATGAATTAAATCTACACGGCCCATACTGCATACGCTGAGAAATCCAGCGACTCTGAGTTACTGTCGCTGTCTTGATTTGGTTTTTTATACTAAAACTTTTTAAAGTCATTAGCTTCTTGATATATCTTCCGTTATTATTTTAGGAAATTATGATGATCGTTTTTCCAATTAACAAATTCAATGATTGTTTCGGTTGCATGCTTGTCAAGATGCAAATATGCTTATGAAGAAATAGTGAATGCAAAATTTCAATTTGGTAGAAATTATCTGAGACACCAGTCATTCACTCACGATGGCATTCTTTGCCTTGTGGTTTGACATCGTGCTGCATTACATACAACTTTTCATTTCCCCATTCTTGCTAACTTTTGTGGGGTTGTAGCATCATGGGGATCCAAATTGTCATTTGTTTTCATTTAAATGTCAAATTCATATTGCTGTAAAAGGGTTCAGATAGGAGCTGCATTCGGGAAATATCATCTCTTCTGCTCATATGCTAAATCTTTTAGTTCTACTGACTGTGCTATTACTTGCAAGTTGTTTTATCGTGAAGCTTGTTGTGAAGGACCAGGATCATGCTAAAGAGGACAACCTACTGTGGGAGCTGCTAAAAAAGAAGAGAAAATTATGCATGGGAAATGGGAGCAGTAAGCCGTGTGGCCTTGCACTGAGCCAGTTGAGTCCACAAACCCCATGCTTGGTTCCCTCCTCTTCACCTACGTACAGTTCAAATGGGCACCATTTGCTACCCAAGATACCCCTGGGTTCCTCACCTTCAGTGACATATCCGCAACGTAAACCTCAGAAGAAGATAACCTCCGGATTTCGTACTTAAAATTTTAGCGTATGGCAAGCAGGTTTCTTGCTGATAGGTGGGAGTTGGAGCAATTTGGCTGTGGCTTGGTTTTGGTAACTATACTTTGATAACCTCTTTTACTTTTACTGCAGAGCTTCATTAGTGTGCAATTCTTGCATTTTGTTATTCCATCATGTTGACAGTATAAAAGTAAACTTCAGTTTGCGTTCACTGATTAAATTTTCCAAACCATGAAATATCCTCTGTTGTACGTATGAATTCACTGCAATGTCCCAATTTCAATATTATATGAGTAAGAGAAACATAGGTATTATCCCCTTTTTTTTACTTTAAGTTTTGTTATGCTCCTGTTTGTGAAAGCATATGGTACGTATTCATTTGGATAATGTACCTCAGTGTGTAGTGCTGTTGACGTAATGAACTCTAGCCGGAAGCCCAAATTCAAACCAGCTGATCGAGGCCCATTATAGTGTAGTAGCATGTCTTATTTATGTACCAATATATTAGAGAGCCCAATGTAATTTTCT